AACCCCTTACGACACAGGTATGGCGTCGGCCGACTATATATATATATATATATATATATATTGTGTATCGAGTGAACTGCACAAAAAGCCTTGTTTGCTGTGTCGGTTCAAGCCCGGCAGGTAAACACAGCCTGATATATAACGGTCCAAGAAAAATTAAATATATCGCTAATTCTTAAAGGCTCTGAAAATTATCTTCCAAATCATATAAAATTAAGTATTCAATTTGAATTTAGCAACACGAAAAATCCATTTTGTGTCACTTGATCATATTTCTCAACCTGAGAATAAATATAATAAGTAGGGAGTACCCTGCAGAGAGAAAACTAGGGTCCTATGTATTTGTGCTACGTGTTCTTAACTTACCTATCAATCTCTGATCTAAAGAGAAACAAGGATGGTAGCTAAATTTCCAGACGTTCTTCACTACCAATAGATGGATAAATTACCATACAATCATTACATTGCAACATAATACTCATAAAGCATAAAATAGTTTTACACCTGTGAAATGTATTGATGCCTATGGGAGCAAAGCACTCAAATAACAAAAGAAGGTACAACTGTATATACTTTATTTATTCTAATTTTAGGAGGTTATTCCATCTGCTTATGGAATACGTGGAGAGGCTTAAGAGTGAAAATGCTAGGCTATATGCAGTGCAGAATTTATCAGCTTATCTTGCTCAAAAGCAATAGTAGATGAACCCACATGGCTCTGTCAAACTATATCTAGTTAATATATTCAAGCAAATAGAATAATTAATAAATAGAAAAAACTCATTGTCTCATTCACAAATTTAAAATAACTAATAGATCAAAAGAACTGTAGGAATATAAATATCATTATATAATCTAGTTAATAAAAAAGCAACTATTAACATCGTCTTCACAATTTAGATAATTACCTGAGCACAATATCCAAGCTTCATATCCAAACCCCATCCATGAACCAAATCATTCTGCAATAATGAGTAATCGCTGAATAAATGGTACTGCAGCTTACCATGATCGCTTATCAACCATACTGTTGAAAGATTTTTAAAAAGAGTAAATTTGGACCACATTTTAGCCAAAATGAAAGCATTCAACTAGCCTCTCCAAAAGCCTTTGTACTCATCCAACTTGAAATTATGTTGTTCCATTTTAGTGACAAGAGGATCAGAATATTTTTCATGCCAAAGAAAGAAAATTGACATCAATTTTTCAAGAAAGGATCCAAGGATCTGAATGGTTTAAGCAGATAAGCTTGTGAAGCTACCAATAAAATATAAATTGACCATAACACTTCTAATCGAGAAAGGTCCCATGGGACAAGCCAGTAACTGTACAAGTAAGACGGGGTTCTGAAAACTAGGTAACCCAGTTTACTGCATCTTTGCTTTTTCTTTTCTTTTTTCCAGAATCCACACATTGCCATTTAACAGTGAACCTAAATTATAAGTGTAGTTAGAAATAAACAACTTCTGAAGGAAATCTGAAGCATGAACACAACAGACTGATGCCCAGGTGTGGTCATTAGCTAGATAAGACTAATACTGAGTGCTAATGAAATTAGTTTAGGATCTTAAAATAAGTAAAATAAAAGCAACAGTCTGACAACAATAACAGAAGATAGAAGCAAAGATTAATAGAGTTAACAACCAACTTAGATATTCACAAAATTGAGAAAATAAATGGATAGATGAAAATAAGTTCTGAAGGATCCGGCAGCACCAACAGTACAATAAGGCCTAACTGTGTTTACGAGCTAGTAATTGATATTGACTGTTAATAAAACATAGTTTCAAATATAAACTGTAATGCTAATAATAATAATGGAAAATGGAAGTAAAGTTTGAAAACTTAAAGGATCTAAAAGGTGAAAATAAAAAATATCAGAGAAAATAAAAAAGGATAGTTGCAAAATATAATACGGAAGTGGGAATGGACAACGGTTGAACTGAAATAACACAAAGACGTAGATACAGAGGATGGGGATGGGGATGCTGAGACACAATGTTTAGCATCTCTTGACAACATTCATCCTATTGCACTGACAATTCATGAACAAACCTTTCAACCTTTTGGTATTGCAATCTGATGCTTATGATGTCTTACAATGCATTGCATTGTTATGCCTGCTTAATTATTTTGACTGTATCTCATAATCAGAAATTCAACTTCTCCATAAATAGATAGAAACTAAAAAAGATTCTGGAACAATGGTCCATTAATATAAAAATAAAGCAAGTCCTTTGTGTGTCTGCTCAGGAATGATTGACATTTTGATATTGAATAGCAGCTCAAAATTTTTCATTTTCAGTAACTAACAAGGACTTCCTTTTTTGTCTATCTCAAAGGTGCACCTCTGTATAGTTTTGAAACAAAAAAAAAGGTCTCTCAGGTATACCGTAGGTCAAATGACGATAATATTTTTTGTCACAAATAACAAGGAAAAAAGATCATATATACGAATTTAGTTTAGAATTGCACCTGGATGAGATGCCACACACATTGCCAAGCGGCACGAGAAAAAACAGGAGCCATCCCTTCAACCCATCTGATATGAATAGAACAAACAAGAATAGTAGAAGCTCAATTTTAAGTGGCAATTAGGACGCAGGCAGAAGCCATTTATTGATTTACCTAGCCAAAATCAAATATTGGATGCAGCATGCTAAGTTCTACATATATAAACCAAAGGGATAAAGAAAAAGCAATTATAAAAGAAATCCAAGAGAACAGCACAAGTCCAGCAGTCCAAAAACACATTTCACTAAAGTAGTTAAGAATGATGTTTGTATATGACAAGATTTTAATTTAAGAGTATTTATTACATGTCAAACAAGAGATTATCTAAAGAAAGGACCTAATAGACTTCCAGATATTGTGTTTGGTGCGAATAATTTCAGGATTGATAGTGGATTATACTGGACACTGCGAATAATTTCAGCATCGATAGTAATTCTCTCAGCTGGCAAGATGGATAGCTATTCAACTCATGAGTAATATCAGGAGTCTTTTCCTTATTGCCCTTTCTGCTGATTATACCATGTAATGCTATATTTAATATATTCATTATCACTGGATATTAGTAGTCATTCAAGACAATTCATTCCAGTATGTAGAATTGAGTATTCCTCAACAACATTTATGTAATACCATCAGATTACAGGTTATACCCCATTCATATCTTATATAAGTAGAGCAACATTTCAGCCCATTTAACCTGAGAATTAAACCACTTATATGGTGTTTCAGCAATTTGATAGTTGATAAGACTCCTTGAGACAATATTTACCAAATCCAACAAATAACTGCAGCCATGTTTCAGAAAGCCAATTAACATTTAGCCCCAAAGTGTCTATTTCGAATGAAAATCTTGATGAAATACATTTTGCATAAATAATATTCTAAAATAGCGTGGTTCTAAAGGTCAAATAAAACAAGGTTTTAAATCATCCAGACACCCCAGAGGAAATTCATAATGAAAAATATGGCATCAATTTTCTCTCTGAAATACTAAAAAAATTTTATTTTTATCACAATCAAAATCACAATAAGTCTTATAACTCATGCTGTATAAGAATAAACAAATGTTTGCATTGATAAAACAAAAGCTAATATCACCATCTTAGTTGCATTCAAAACACTAACTCCAATTTTTCAGCTTTAAATTTCTTTATTGACCAAATCAGGTCGTAATAGTTAAGAATTTGATTCAAGTTGACAAAAGAATGTATCATAAGCATAATTAAAATTGATTTCCATTTGAGAGAGTTTAATTGTTGGGAAATCTTTGAGGGCGACATCACATGCGCAGCGAAAGAACAGAAAAACAAAATCCCCAATTTCCCAAAAAGATGTTCGTCGTCGTGCGAAGATTTGTGTGCAAAAATCTGCAAAACTTAAAAACTACGTATATAATAGATTGTATTGCCCAAAAAGATCGTATATCCCTGAATCCTTGAAGATCTCTATGAGAGAGTGAATGAGGTCAAGCGCCCTCCTCTCTAGCGGTGATCCATACAGCAAGGCTGCAACGACGCTCCTCAAAACTTCAGACCTGCTCTGAGGTGGAGAGGGAGAGGAGAATAGGAGAGACAAACAAAGGCTCTAGCCAATGAACCACCGAATCCCTCTTATTTATAGAGGTCCCCTATCAACTTAACCCTAATGGATTCCCCCCTATTGGGTATTGGATCTTTATCCAACTATCCAAACATCTTATATTAGTGAATCTTTATCCAATAATCTCTCATGGGCTCTTATTGGATC